AGAGCATAAATCAACAGAAAAAATAAAAGACAGAAATATAAGGCAAGGTCAATAATAGCTTAGATGTAAGTGACATCTGCAACCAAAGGACAAATTCGGTCCCTTGGATTCGATGTTATGTTTGCCATTTGCATACAAAAGCAACCTTCTGGCAGATAGTAAATGATCTACAAGTACAACTGTACAAATACAAATGCGCAATTGTGCACATGATTCCACAGATAATTGATTTAATTAGTAAATGATCAAATAGAGGTCGCGAAAGACATAAGGCAGAGGCCGACCATGGGATGATCACGTTGTTTTTTTTAGAGACTAATCAACCCGGGCTATGCTTCGGGTTAGTCATCCATGGCTCGGCGAGTTTCATCAAAATAGCGACATGCTCCTCAGAGAGACAAAGCAGGCCATCATCCCATGTGTTGAAGTCAACATAGGCAGATTCGTTGCCCGCACAATTAGGCTCTCCAGCGAAACCTAAAAAATCGAGGCTCTCCCGGCCAACAGTAGCAGAAGACAAAGGAACGGGCGCTAGGTGAGGGACATCAGAATCGAGGACAGACTGATTATTAGGCGAAAGGAAGAAGTGAGGGGAGGACAAAAAAATTAGGACTTTAAAGATCATGAATCAGCTTTAAGAAACGTAAATAGCCTCTATTATTTTAAAATAAATGGCTAATCAATGTAATTGAAATTAGCGGTATTTCAGCAATATGTTTTGATTGGTGTATTGAAGTAATATTAGATCATTTTCATCAGACTATATTGTTTTTGCTTAAAAATAATTATGTCTTGGAGATCGGGTTAGGTGCAAAAGAAAGAAATAAGTAGACGATTAAGGTAGAGCATAATATTCGTCTCAAATATAATAATTAAAATCACGGATTAAAATTGATACATTTAACACTCAATTCAGATTTTGTTTTAACTATAGATTTGCTTTTAAATTTTTCGATGTGATGATTAAGACACAATTGCTAACGCTCACAGTCGCTAACCATCCTGTGTTTATAAAGCAAGTACAGTGAGACTATACTGGATTCTAAGTCCCATAACAGTTGTAGAGAACTGTGACGAATTAATTTTAAGTAGTGAATTACGTAAATGAAGAAGGTAAGAAATCATAACGAAAGTCAAAACTGT